TGCAACTCAAAAAAAACCACGCAAATCTAAAACTTCTTGAATTCAAGCATTTTTTGAGAAAACTGCAACATTTCCTTATCGATGGTTCACTTTCTTAAAAGGCCATTTAGTTCTCTTTGGAATGATGTAAAAATGAGCGCTCTTGCTCATTTTGCTTCCGAGAAACATGCAAGACGCGACGGAAAACATGAAATTTTGCAATAATCTTACGCCACCCTTGCACAAAACGACGATATTTTTTCTAATCTCATAGACAACAGAAGATTGTATTTTTTCTACATAACCCCTTGAATTTAAAGCTGGATCCGCCCCTGCGTAGAATAAAAAGTTTTGAAAGCTGTGATGTTTCGAAAGTCTGACCCTTTTGAGTGATTTTAAATCGATCTGTTTTAATGCAAAAATGATTTTAACTCAACGTCTTAACAGCTGCATTTTGTGATTCCATAGAAATGATCAACAATAATGAGAGATGCAGAAGGCAAAACCGCAAAATCCCGACCAGTTATGAGCCGACATTCTAATAATGTCTTGAGAACTCACCTTGCAGGCCTGAAACATTGACGGGCAGTACAAAGGTGTTTCGTATTCTTTGCCTTTTTGTGTTTCTGCCTTCTTGCATTTAAGCTGGCAGAAGCCGAACGCCGACTTTCTTTTATTTGCTCACTCCTATGTGTAACTGTTAAACCATTCACACTTGTTCGGATGCCACTCTATATGGGCGCTTTCAAGTGCATACTTACTTTTATAATTATTGTCTTATTTGTTTTGAGATGGTTTTTGGCCGCTGCACCTCTTCTAATCGGTAATCCGACAAGCGAACGACCGGTGGTTGGTGTTTTCCCTCTTCGCAATGGCGATATTCTTTTATTCAGGCAACCTTTGCCGGCTCTGCCTACTCTTGTGTTAACAGCATTTTTCCGAACAAATAGCACGAAGTTCATACCGTGATATCCGTAGCTCAAGAAACAAAAATTGAATCGTTCGCTTAGCTTTCCTTATTGTGTGTAAATGAGCTCTAATTTTTTTCTCAGAATCCATTTACAACTACCGGATAGTCATTAGTCATTGGGATCGTCGCGGTTCAACCACGATAATTAGAGGTGTTCGTTTCAAAGTTTACATTAGCCGAAACATGTGGGAAGCTGCGATTAATTTAAAAAGCCGTCAATCAAATGCGGCTTTTTGTTACTGATAGGTCGGAATTCCATTACACTTTGCAATGGGAAAAAATCATTACCCTCACTCCTGTTTGGGAAACGTTAGGAAGACATTTTTTTGGCGCGGTTTGTTTCAGAAAAATCCCACAACGTTTAGTTTCAGGATATTATTATTATATAATGAAACATTAAATCGTAGCGCTAATCTACCATAACATTTCACGACTTCATCCAGCCTGACTGGAGCTCATCTAAGGCAATTATTGCAAATGCATTTCTCATGCCCAATTTCCGAGCCCGTATTCTGCGCTGTTGTTAATAATTAAACGTTGGCGATGAAAATTACTCATCAACTTAACTGGCTGGGCATCAATATTCCATCTGCTTTTGTTTATACCTTGCAGCCTCAAACAGCTCTAATTTAATTATGAGTTAAGTACGACTTATTTCATCCAGCCGGCATTATAAATCATCACTTTCAGAGCTGTTTAGTAGTTATGGCAAACAATCCACTGATATGTTTTTTTTGCAAAAAAAGTATCCATAATAATTTTAAAGCGAATTAAATTCAAATCAGATATTTTCCGCCAAAAACGCCGAAACCGTATCGTCGGTTGCCTATCCCGATTGTGACGTAGCAGGTCATGTCAATCAAGTGTCTCGTGTTTATTTTGTTGTTTTCGCAGCTTTGTTTTATTATTTAAGTTATTGTGATTATTATTATCTTGCATAATGGAAAATAGTGACATGCATGGATCACCAAATAAGTGGTGTTTTGTGCCAGGATGCAAGAAGAGTTTATTTTACTTTTAAAGCAGCCATGTGTATAGGTTAGGTTAAGTTGATTAAGTGAAATTCTATATATTATTTGCCTAATTTAAACCAATACAGACAGATTAGGATATTAAGGAGAGTGTAACTAATAATGATTTTACGGATTTTTACTTACGCTGCTGCTTTGACACCCTTAAATTCGGCTGATTTGAAGCTTTTGTCGTTTTTTAATAATTCGGTAACCATAAAAATATGTACACATAGTAAATTGTTTGTTGACGCTTTAAGGAATCCTTCTGAAGCCATAACTATAAATTATTTAAATCCACAAAATCATTAATGAAACACAACCACACAACTAAACACTCTGCACAGAACGTAAGCAATCCGCCATTTATATGACCAGAGACGTCACAACCAATAGGATTGCGTTTTAGAGATTCAAGAATAATTTGGATTTTAGCTGAATTTGTTTATTAAATATATAACAAAATGGCAATAGATAGATAGTAACTTATTTAATCTTTCACATATATATTACCATAGATTAATGTTCAGTTTGTAGGAATTTTTGATTCAATGAAAACACCCTATTCTCATTGGGCGTCAGAAAAATTAATTCGTGTGTCCTTTAAATGTCTGTGCATCCAGTCGATTATAACCGCGTTGCAATGTATAAATGTGCTCAATTCACATCTCAACTCCTTCCTAACGTTTTTATAATTAAACAATAACATTTCCTACCTTAAAAACCTCCTTTCACCCGCACATCTGCAACAAGAAAAAATATTTGTTAACATTCGCTGAAATGCTTCCTAACTAAACAGAAAGTATTGAAATTGCTACGATATTTAGACTCATTTTATATCGACATCTTATCGTGATTGATTTTGTTTTAGCTCAAGTCTGCGTGTAATAAATATGTTTACCACTTTCAAGAGAAAGGTTTATGGCATAAGTAATGTATGCAAGGAAAAACATAGTTATTTCCAGTCAATTAATCTTCGAAAAGTAACCATCATCACTACATACATGGCTAATGTTTTACGTGAAATGTTGTTACTCCTACAAGAACGCAGATAGCTGAAACTGTACTTGGGTTAGGATTATTGCGTGAATTCACTTTGGTAAAGTTTTCACAAAAGCTTCGAACTATAAATCAGTGATTTTACAGCTTTTTGTAGATACAGCGTGTTTGAAACAGAATCGTCCTTTTTGGCAAATACATTGGGACTGTGTTGGATGTCGCAGTTGTGATTTTGACGCGAAAAACACCTTAAACCTGCCCATTGATCCGCTTTTGCAGAAAATCATCGCATTTTGAGCGACTTAATGTTTTTTGAATCGATTAATTTTGATCTAAGAAGAACCATCGTTGTCAAATGCGGAATACTGATGGCTCCCCTGCGGGAAATCATATAAACAAGTAGTTAACAATTATTACTATCTCTTACTTCCATTATGCATTTGATTTATGCGCATTTATGAGGTAGGTAAACAATCAACGTTTCTCGAGATACAAATTTATACACGACGGCGGCGATTTCTGCAAATTAATTACGCTCAAAGAAAAGGACTCTTAAAATAAACCGCATGTACTGTGCTACTTATTATTTCGCTGGATTACCGTTAATTATCATCGTTATTATTATGCTTCCGTTTCTTTTGTGACTGCAATAAATTTGATGATTTCTTCGTCTGGATTAAGTCCTAAAAAACCCAACTTTTGTCTGTGAAGAATAGAGTGAAAAGGATCCTTTAAACATTTTTTTGCCAGCTAAAAGGCTGAACTTATGCAAGACAACTCCTGTCACTTGCCTCTATTAGACCGTTACAGGAATTCCTCATTCGATTAGCTGCAAAATCGATATTGCAATTTGATTTATCACCATTGGATTGAACTAATGAAGAAACCCATATTTATGGTTTGAGCTGAACTGCATAATGCTTTTATAGCGCACAATAAATCTAGAAGCTAACTGAAAGTTATTTATAAAATGTACTAGAAAACATTAATTATGTGTATTTGTTCGCGATTTCTACAATGATTAATTATAGCCGCGATGCACTTTTCTTCCGCTGGTACACTTGTGCTTCTTTGTTTCAGATGCGCTTTACGGACAAGTTCCGAAGAAAAGTGGGCGCAATGCTGCAATTCTTCATGTTGGGCGTCTTCTCGGTTCATCAGTCGATTGCTGCCAGAAGACCGCTGGTGAATGGCACCTGGATGTAAGTATAGAGTGAAAGAGAACCGGATTTGGAAGCCTCAAGTTATTTGGATAGCCGATCGCTGGCTCAGATGATTGATGTGTTCTCTGTTATTGATTACTTCTCATCATTAAAAACACCTGCTGTTTGTTTGCATTCAATTTCTCCATTCCCGATTTTTTCATAGTTCTGCACTTTTTCATCGCCGTATCATTTCATGTTTACACACTCGTTAATGGCCGTTTCTACGCAAACACCGCTAAGCAGCTCATAAGTTTTCAAGTTCACCCAAGAGTAGTTACACTGTAATATCGCCTGTTCTGGCAGCAGGTTTAGGATTGAACTCCTGCTGTTTTAGAAAAATTGCCGAAGCTTCCGCCCTTTATCCTATTTTGATGCTAAAAGGTCCTGAATCAAAGGACTCTCATCATTTTACATTTCATCCGGGGCATGAGTATCCGTCTCAACTACTCAAATGTGAAAAATCCTTCCTAAGAAGCCAGAATG